GTATATATATATATGTGTGTGTGGGTGGGTGGGTGTGTGTGTGTGTGCATGCTGCGTGTGTGCAAGAGAGAGAGTGTGCGTGCGTGCGTGCGTGCGTGCGTGCGTGTGTGTTACTAGCCACCCCATCATCTGAGGAAATTATGCTTTCCAGTTTTTAAATTACATAAAAGTATAGTTTCCTCAAATGATTGGGGTGGATGAGGGTTAATCTAGTAATTACTATCTAATCCCTCCCTCCACTCCAAAAACGACCTCTCTCTTCTTCTCCACAGTGTAACTCCTACCCACTTGAATGTCTTGCTCCAAAAACGTTAAGGTTTACTTACAATCCCTGTTCAATTCTAGTTAAGAAAAACACTCATCTCCAAAAATACAGATACACATTATTCAAATCCCTCAGCATTGAGGGACATCGGAGTACCGCTTGTTCTAAAAAAAATTGCACAGTTTATACATGTTTGTTCCTATTCTACTGTCCTCTAAGTCAATCTTTATATCAAAGAAAATGTATCAAATTACTAGATTATAAATTATTTTATCAAATTTTGTTTATTAGCTAATCACATTAATGTTAGAGGTTTTTGTGCGTTTGCAGACATGTGATTGATTTGTGACCAAATTAAGTAAAACTCTTGTTTAGTAAACAGTTAGCTTTAAATCTGTGAAATTACAGAATTTTTTAAATAAACGATCAGTTAAAATGATAAAATGTACCCACTTATCAGGAAACAGCAGAGTTTAGATTCAGTAATTGGACTGTAAATACAGTGCAGCAGATGATTTAAGTGCCCCAAGTTGCTCCTAAATGCCATTTTGTTGATGTGACAGTAGAAAGATAAAGGCAATTATTTTGTTGTGGGACCATTTCCTCCTTCGATTTCCCAAGATTCTGTTTCATGTTGGCATTTCAAACGACAGATCAGAGATGCTTTGATAATAGCCAATTACTCCCTCTAAATGTGTGTGTGAGAGAAAAGGATGGAGTTTGTACGTGGGCAAATTGGGGGGATGACTGTGAAATACCTACGGAACACACATTATTCAAGCAGGACAATTTCCTGCTCACTGTAGTGGTCCATATTGACGCTTCGGTAATAGCTGTTCTCATTGTATGTCATTATGTTTTTATTTGTTGTGCTTACCTCCCTCTATTCCTGTTGAAGTGGCGGGTGTGAGTGAAGCTTATGAGGATGCCGCAAACTGCTTATGGTTGCTCACCAACTCTAAGCCCTGCCCCACCTGCAAGTCTCCCATACAGAAAAATGAGGGCTGCAATCACATGCAGTGTGCCAAGGTAAGTTAGATGGGTGGAGGGTGGGGTGGGGTGGGGGTTCACGCTGCTGTTTTCAGCTGTAATGGACACAGTCTTTTGTTGTTAAAAAAAATCACCAGAAAATCTTTGGCTGTGAGCTAGAATCAGTGAGACTCACTGGCTGTGTGATCAGCACTTTTAGGAGGTACTTCCAAGATTTTACATGTTTAGTTTCACACAGAGGGACATGCACAAGCCCTTCGTCTCCCATCTTGTCTTGGAAATACTCTCCGTTTGTCTGTCTTGTGAGCTTGATAACTTAAAAAACGAGTGCAGTACCGACTTTCATTTTGGTGTGGGGCTACCTTGAGGTGTAAGAAAGGTTCCTACTGAAAACAGTGTTGCCACATTATAATTCAAGATGACCATAACCATTATACATATATGTATACATATGTCCAAATCGGCCACCCTGATCATTTTAGAAAACTATTCTTTCTAGTTTTATGTTGTTTAAAAGAAAAATTTCCTAAAATGATTACAATGACTGAAGATTAGTCTATGGTGGCCAAGGCCACCATTGACTACCCCCTGGCTCCGCCATTGTACCTGGTGGGGAAAAAATTGCCCCCTGTGCTCACCAGAATCCGCCACTGTGCACTGCCTCATAAAAACAAACAAACAAACAAACAAACCAAAAATAGATAAACTACCTCTGTTTTTCTCCACAGTGCAACTCCTCACCACTTGAATATCTTGTACCAAAAACATGAAGGTTTACTTACATTCCCTGTTCAATTCCAGTCCAGAAAAACACTCTTATTGAAAACTATAAACATTCACTACTCAAATCCCTGTTTTTATTAGAAATTTAAGTAGTTTATCTTTTGAAAAAACAAAACAAGAAAAACTGAATGAGCAGTTCACAAGTATTACAGATGGAGTGCTGACATTTTATCAAGTATAAGATGTAAACTCAAAATAGTAAAAATAATGAATAGATCCAACTCCCCCATAATAAAATAAACTAGCATGATGCAGATTAAGTCTGACAACTGACCGTGTTTCAGTGAGCAGCCCTTTTGCTGAAGAGCTAACTATATAGTTTCCTCACACAGCCAGGATCTCTTATTTTTTGTTTCTGACAACCATGTTGCCGTCTTCTCGTGTTAAAAGCAGCTGACTAGAGATTGTGATCAGTTTTGGAAAAATGGAGTAGCTTTTACAAGCAGCGAGGCCAATGGGGACTGAAACCCTTGACCTGTTATTACCTGGTAAGGAATGGCTTTTACCCCACTGCTTGGCAACATGGGATTCAGTGTTGCCAAGAAACCACTGCCTCCTTCTCTCTGGTTTGGCATCAGATTTTTTATTTTTTACTTTTTAGTGTCCATTTTACACATTCTCTTTTTGTGTGTCTGTCTTTTGATTTAGCCCCCACCCCCTAGTTTTTGGTTTCATCTTAGTATTTTTGAAGTGCCATGTAAACATGGTGTTTCCAAGACAACGCAGATGTCAGCCTTTTGTGTTACTCTGCCCAACTTGTCACCCACAGAAGCATTTGTGGCATAGAAAGAAAAATCACTTAAGACATAAATACACAGCAGATTTGAGTTGCTGGTTTGTTTGCTTGCTCTGTTACACCAGTGGGACTTGCTGGTCTCAAACATAGCCTGTGTGCCTTCTAGTGGCAGCAGCCTGCAAGGAATCATGGCAAGGTCCAAAATAACTTCTCTGGTGACATTTATTTTAAATTACATTTGTTGAAGCAAGCAAACCTAAGACATAATGTAGGGGGTGCGATTTGAGACTTTTACTTTTTTTTACTCGTATTGGTTCAGATTTTTTGGCAGATAATTCAGCAGTTAAATCATTTAGACTCTGACTCAGTATGATAACTACCTCAGAACAGGAACGCAAACTCTAGTTACTGACTTTATAGTTGGCCCCCATCGTGGAGCAAAGAGGAGAATTGGAAATGCCTTCTGTCCGTCTTCTCAACTGTCCCACATATATACATATATTAAAACCTTTAGAGCTGAAGAATTTGGAAAAATAAGCAATTTGCTGACTTCCGTTTTGGTCTGTTGTTGTTATTTAGGCATATGAAAGGTCACTTTGGAAAACGAGTTGCCACATTAAAGTCCAAGATGGCCACCGCTATATTTTAATCAATCAATTAGATTTATTTTGGAGTGGTGGCACAGAGGTTAGAGAAGGTGGGCCTGTGATCGGAAGATCACCAGTTCATCTCCTGGTACCAACAACATCAAAAATGTGGGTGGGGTAGGTGAAGCACCCGCACCTGCCTCCAGCCTCATTTGCCCCACTCTGGGCCCTTGAGCAAGGCCCTTAACCTCACCATCTGCTTCCCTGGGCACCCTAGACAGCAGCTCTCTGCTCCACACAGAGGGCTGTGGTTGCATCAGGAAGGGCATCCGGCATAAAAACAATTGCCATGTCTTCATGTGAATTAGTTCACTGTGGTGATCCCTGAAGAAGGGAACAGCAGAAAGAAAATAAAAAAATCAGTTTTATTTATATAGCAAATTCAAAATAGTTCAAGACAAAAACAACTGGATTTTATTTGTAACAGAAAAGTTGTAACGGAAAAGTCCAGTTGTTTTTGTCTTGAACTTTTTTGAATTTACCATGTCCTGGATGACTGAGAATCTTCACCAGCGTATTTATATAGTACATTTAAAAACAACTGTGTTGACCAATATGCTTCATAAACAGGAAACTTTGCTTTTAAGCAAAATAAAACCAGAAACAAAAAGTTTCCTAAAATGACTGGAGTGGCCACTGGGGTGACCAAATATTAATTTATGCTGGGCAAGGCCACCATTGGCCACCCCCTGGCTCTACCACTGCACTTGGTATTTGATAACATCGCTCTCTCCACTCGCCAGGATCCGTCACTCAGTGCTTCATCGGTCAAGATAAAAAAAATAAACTACCTTTGTTCTTCAACAGTGTAACTTCTACCCACTTGGATGCCTTACACCAAAAACGTTAAAATTTACTTGCATCTTGAAAACTACAAACATTCACTATTCAAATCCCTCAGCAGCGGGGGACATCAGCGTACTGCTTGTCTCAACTGAGACAACTGGCCAAAGCCAATTCAGAGGTAAAATAATATAAATGATTATTTCTCTCCTTGTAGTGTAAATATGACTTCTGCTGGATCTGTCTGGAGGAGTGGAAAAAACACAGCTCGTCAACTGGTGGCTACTATCGCTGCACTCGGTACGAAGTCATCCAGCATGTGGAGGAGCAGTCGAAGGAGATGACAGAGGAGGTATTTACTTACCTATTCATTCATTTTCTATTTGTATGCATTTCAAGCCCTTTAAGATACCTATTTTAAAATAATTTTTCAGTCATCTGTTACACTAAGCTCAGGAAACAGTTGCAAGATGACAGCTTTTTGAAGGAGCCCTATGTTGTGTTGATGGTTTAGTGATTATAACAACAAGGCTTGCACAATTCACACATTTTGCACCAGAATTCATTGAACTAGCAGAGGCAGTCATTTGCCCTATGATAGTTTGTAATACAATCACTTCCTTACTTCTCTTTTGTAGAAACAAAAAGCAGGTTAGTAAACCAAAAAACTCACACATTGGTAGCAGTTCAGGGCAACTGCATTCTGTAAAAAAAAAAAAAAAAAAATCATTGAATGCACAAAATATAAACACTCTTCATCAAAGGCAAATAGAAGTTTACTTTCAGTTTCTTTTTTCTCACATTCTTCCCACAACACAAATATGGATTATTCCTGCGGCACTACTTGAATTGACTTTTTGCATGCAGGGTATTTATACTTGGTAAGGGAACACACTCAGGAGTTTATTGACTGTGACTGCGTCTTGTCACGGCTTTGCAGGCAGAGAAGAAGCACAAGAGCTTTCAGGAACTTGATCGTTTTATGCACTACTACACACGCTTCAAGAACCACGAGCACAGCTATCAGGTAAACTTTGCCTTTCCGTAGTGTCTGCTTTGCATAATACAAATCATGCTTTTAAAGTAGCCAGAGGAACCTCATCTATAAGGCTGACATTCCTGTTTATGATGTTGTAATGTTTTAGCATATATCAAGCAGCCATAATTGACAGACTAAGTAATTAACACAGCTCGTACTAGACAATAAAACAAAACTTCCTAACAAGAAAGAACTCAGCAAATATTCTGAAATGTTTACCTGGCCTCCAAACTCCTCAGATACATGTAAACAGTGTATGTGGTAAGTAGACCTTACAGTCCAGAGCAGACATGGGCAACTTTTTGCCCAAAAGCCAAAAGTGGCCCTTGGGCAATTTCCACCCCTCCCCCTCTTAATTGAAAAACATTTAATTGAAAAGAAAACAAGTTTTAAATAAATTGATGAAAACCTACATTTTATCAATAAAAGTTTAAATTAAATATCTTGGACAAATACATTGAAAACCTTTAGATTAAGATAGGCAAAAAAAACAAACAAAAAAAAACACTGAACCTTAAAGACTCCAAAAAGCAAGCATAGGCTTTATTTATTATATAAATGTATTTTTTTTTTTCATGTTTAGCCTAATATGGGGCAGCACGGTGGCACAGTTGGTAGATCTGCCACCTCTCAGCGAGCAGGTCGCCCCGGTTCAAAACCCAGCCTTTCTGGTTGGAGTTTGCATGTTCTCTCCGTGCATGAGTGGGTTTTCTCCAATTGTTCTGGTTTCCTCCCACAGACCAAACACATGCATGTTAGGCTGATTGGTAACTCTAAATTGTTCCTAGGTCTGAGTGAGAGGGTGAATGGTTGTTTGTCTCTGTCTCTATGTGTCCCTGTCCCTTGCCTCTCACAAAGCAATGACTAGACATGGGCACTAGTGGCCCCCGCTACCCAAAAAGGAAGAAGTGGTTAAAGACGGACGGACGGAAAAAACCTCCAGATTATCCATCCATTATCTTGACCCGCTTCTTTCTTTGTGGGTCACGGGAGTCCCTGGTGCCCATGTCCAACAGTCACTGTGCGAGAGGCAGGGGACACCCTGGACAGGTTGCAAGTCCATCACAGGGACACATAGAGACAAATGAGACAAACACCCATTCACTCTCACCCACACCTAGGAACAATTTAGTTGCCAATAAGCCTAACATGCATGTTTTTGTTCTGTGGGAGGAAACCCGGAGTACAGTAGTCCCTCGTTTATCGCGGGTGTTTGGAACCACGCCCATAAGTGAAAATCCGTGAAGTAGGGATACAGTAGTCCAAGTTCAAGTTCAGTTCAAGTTCAGTAAACTTTGTCATGACATGTGACAGGCTGTAATCACACTCATCACCTGTCACTCCCAATCTCCCTCCTTAAATAAACAATTAAAATTGAAAATATTGTTACATTTTAAATAAACAGTCCATGCTGAATCCATGCAGCATGGATTGTTTATTTAAAATATTACAGTATTTAAATTTAAATTGTTTATTTAAAATATTACAGTATTTAAATTTAAATTGTAGAGAAGAGACGTGCAGCAGGACATCAAAGGGATGTCACACAGCTTCAGCTCTGCAGCACGGAGCAGAAATGTACTTCTTGATCAATTACACTGAAACAACTGAACATAGAAGTTCTAAAATAATTAAAAATAACTTTTACCACTTTTATATTTTGTGATTATGATGATTTTACGATGTGACACACTTTGAATTTTAAGTTGGAAGACAAAAGTTGACTGGTGCGTCTGGGCAGCAAAGGGTTAACCCTTCACAAAGCTGCTGCAGCAGGAGAAATGTGTGTGTGGCAGAGAATGAAATCAGCTGATCGTCTGCAGGAGGGAGCTTCCCCCTGCACTTGTGGTCTTTACACATGGGGCAAAATCATTTAAAATAATTTATTTTAAATAAACAACCCATGGCTCATCCATCAATCAGCCAATTGTGTCATGTCCGATCTTACTTTGAAAAACCAAAATAAACAAACCACGAAGTAGCGAGGGACAACTGTACCCGGAGAAAACCCATGCATGCAGAGGGAGAACATGCAAACTTCACCAAGAAAGGCCCCCGGCCAGGACTTGAACTGGCAACCTGCTCGCTGAGAGACAGCGGTTCTACCAACTGCGCCACCGTGCTGCCCCCTCCAGATTATCTGTTCTTAAATAAATCTTCATTTTAAATTTTCTTTGCGACCCGTTGATTACTTTAAACATCTTGATTTGGCCCTTTGGAAAAAGTGTTGCCCACCCCTGGTCCAAAGGGTCCAACAGAATAACTGGTAATGTACTAGCTAATAGGGCTCCTAGCCCGTGGAGGCAAAGGAACACTGATGCAACATGAGCAGGAACTAATTAGTATTCTGTAGGTGTTCATAATGTTGTGGCTTATCACTGTCTACTCTATAAGTCGTACTTGATTATAAGTCTGCCGCTCCCACTGCTGTTAATTAATTGGACTGTATTTACTGGAAGTCTGTCCGTTGTGTAGTTAGGCAGAATTCACAAGACTTTTCCTCAACAGTAAAAAATAAAATATAGTCTGTTTCTCACAACAGCTCGAGCAGCGCTTGTTAAAAACTGCCAAAGAGAAGATGGAGCAACTCAGTCGAGCCCTGAGTCAAAGTGAGTGTTCAGTCTACTGCAGCAGCTGATCTTTAGTAAACATTTATCTCCTCTGATGCTCAGTTCTGAGAGCCAGGAGAGGAAAACAAAAGGCTTGATTAAGTTTTGCTAACAGAGAGTGTAGTTGTAGCATTCAATAGTCAAATCTCCTATAAATATGTTTCAGAAGGTGTTGTTTTCAAAGTTAAACACTTTTTAACCTCAGTCCTTACATCAGTCTGTTTATTGTTGTCACATTAAGTTCTGATACTCTTTAAGTTTCATTACTTTCTTATTGTTTAAAGTGCTGTAGGTACAACACATTTCATCCTAGACGTTGTTGGACGTCGTCTTTCAGGGTTCCTACACAGTCTTCAAAAATATTCAATTTAGTTGGACTATTTTTCAGGTCTGGTGGTCTAAGTGTGGAAAAACGAAACCAAAGTCAAGAGCTAGTCTTTCAAAACTTGTTTTTCCCTCCTCACTGAATTTTCTAAAATATTATTATTATTTATTGCTTTAACAGGTTGAGCATTTTTCACTTGTTTTGTTTATAAAATATGTTAAATTCATCATGATGTCCACCTTTTGTTAATTGTCCATACGGAGCCTTGATTTTAAGATTTTAGCCATCAGTATTTTTGTTTTTGAATTTTTGATATAAAAGAAGAACACTTTAGATAACATGTGGATAAACAGCCTCTTGAACAATCTCTCTCTGGGCCCCACAGGGCTTGAATGAAAACTAAACAAATTTAAAACAGCTTGATGAAAACCAGCGTTTTTAAGGGCCCTGACACACTACAGTAATGTTTTAGACAACTGATGCATGAAAATAGTGCCCATTATGCTGGCATACGCTGAAGATGAAGTAAAAACAAAATCCACTCAAAGCCAAAAAATTGTTTAAAACCCTGAGTGTGGAAAGGGTTGTAGTTTTTATAAAGACAAATGTGTAGGAACCCTGATGAACACATGAACAGAATACAGTTTAAGCATGTTACATACAAATTAAAACACAATCTTTTTTACTTGTCTCTCCTAGGGGACGGAAGCTCACCCGACACGACGTTTATTGAAGACGCCGTCCTAGAACTGCTGAAAACTCGTCGTATCCTCAAGTGCTCTTATCCTTACGGGTTCTTTCTGGAGCCAAAGAGCACAAAGAAGGAAATCTATGAGCTTATGCAGGTTTTAAGGCTACTTACTGAGAAGAAAGACAAATCTTCACTGCAGCTTTCTGCCTCATGATCTTCCCCGTGCTCCTCAATAATACCAACACATCGCAGCTTTAAGTTAAACATCTAATGCTACTTCAGTTACAATCACCAGCAATAACACTAAATGTTCTTATTTTTCATATTATGGTTTCTCAGATACTGTAGTAGAACCACTGAGTGGGTCTAAATATAAAGTAATCACTTCTCTGATGTTATTTATTATAAGACCTGCAGTAAAAGTAGTTTATTCTTACAGCTGCTTCTGCTCTTTTAGAACATCATAGCTTGTAAGCAGATTTTTATAGAAGACGGACTTAATGCTCCTTTACAGGGTGTTTATGTTTCCACTCTCTTAAATGTCAGGTTTTGAATTTATTGACTTGTGTGCGTGTAAAGCTCGTCACAAGGTGGTTTAATTGTGCCTCTTTAAAGGGAGAAAGTTCTGCATGTGTCTGCTGAATATTTGACTGTAACAGGCGGTATCAGACACTTAACATCCACAAAACAAATGTACAATTAGTACCCATATGAAAATAATACAATTACAACCGCTCTTCTGAAAACCTGTCTGTATTAACACACATGAAATCTGTCATCTGTCTGTCCTTCTTCACCCAGACGGACTTGGAGATGGTAACTGAGGACCTGGCACAGAAGGTTAACAGACCGTACCTGCGAACGCCACGCCACAAGATCATCCGTGCTGCGTGTCTCGTACAACAGAAGAGACAGGAGTTCCTGGCCTCGGTAGCCAGGGGGGTGGCCCCTAATGACTCTCCTGAAGCCCCCAGACGCAGGTGACATACAGACATGAAACTCAGTTTGTTTAACTGGTTTTCTTTTTATCCAACATTAATATATTCCTGCAGTCTGTTGTAAAATACAACGGTAGAAATATTGAATTTTCCATGCAGAGTCGACTCATTCAGTCCTGAACTAACAGTTTCTCTGTGTTTTGCTAACAGTTTTGCTGGTGGAACATGGGACTGGGAATATTTAGGCTTTGCGTCACCCGAGGTAAGAGATTGTTGGTTCAAATAACCACAGTTTCTTAAAACAACTTTTTCTTCTGTCACATATTATAGTAGTCCCTCGTTTATTGCAGGGGTTGCATTCTGGACACCCCCCACACACACGCACACACACGGCAGTAAGTAAAAATCTGCGAAGTAGGGACGTTATATTTATTTTAGTATTTATTAGGGATGGTGTCGATCCGATTCGGTATCGGTATCGGGCTCCGATACCAGCATAATTTGCATATCAGATTTTTCCAACCTGCTGATATTTCCGATCCATGATGCATGTCTGTGGTTGTGCTGCACGTTGGCTTCAAACTGGAATGGATTTCCTATACGGAGGCGTGTCTCATGAACCCAGAGTAATCAGACCCGCCTCACATTCAGGAAATCCAGTTCATAGTTTGCAGTCAGCTACTACATGAGGGCTGATTTAGCAGCACTGTGGCTAACAGCTAACCAACTTTTCATCTAAACATGTCCGCTGTGTGGAAGTATTTTACACTAGAAACACCACAAAACAAGACAGCAATGTGCAATGTCTGCAGAGCCATAGCGCCACATTAAACCACGGTAAAGTTAGTTTTACGATGGACATTCGAGCTCCGGGGCTTCAGCGGTCTGTTATTTTCGTTCAGTCCAGAGAAGGCAGTCTGATTTCGGTCAGCCACGCTCAGTCTGACCCGCTCAGTCTGACCCGCTCAGTCTGTCCGTGTCGGAGGAGGGGCAAACTGAGCGCGGCTGACCGAAATCAGACTGCCTTCTCCAGACTGAACGAAAATAACAGACTGCTGAAGCCCCGGAGCTTGAATGTTTACCGAGAAGTTGCTAAACTTCATCATAATTAATGATGTGCGATATGGCATAAAATTCATATCACAATATCAACTGTGATGGGTGGCGGTAACGATATATATCATATGTTTTTGGTATAAAACTTGCAATAGGAATGACAAAAGCAGAGGGTGTCCTTTTGCAATCATTTATTTTGAAAACTGCTATAACACAAAATAATCTCAATCAAGAAATTTCCACTACTAGGTCCTGAGAGTTTTTAAATCAAATCAAGTATTAGGCTTCTTTCTTGTAGTGCAAAACAGAGCAAAAGATATCAAATGTAGAAGAATATGTTGTTAACTCAACAGTTTCCAGTCTTCCCATTTCAGAAATGAACAGCAACAGAGCAGCATTTTACACTGAAAACACTTCACCCTAAAACCCTCCAGTGGGCGTCTCCTTCCGCTTTAAGGAGAGATGACACAAAATGGTGACCACTTTCCTCTGTGGCATTGACCAGACGGTCTCGCAGTAAAATCATACAACGCAGCATTCTTTACACAGATCAGAGAGCAGGTTTAACCCTTTTTATTTAGTACAAATGCACTCTCTAAAGCTGACGACGCTTACTTTAACTTTCGACAGAACACAGCGGTTTTTTTGCACATGCATCTGAATACAGGAACAGTACGGCAAGCCGGTCATAGCTAGCTTGTAGCTTTGCTACTTAGCTCTCCAAGAAAACAGACTTTAACACCATTTACAGTTTTCAACTCACAAAACGTAACGATTAAACTGACAACTCTGATTTTACATTGGACACAGCATTACTGCGGTTAGCCGGTAGAAGACAGATCTCTATCATAGGCTAAATGTCTATCGTTTCTACTGGGTATCGTATATATCGCACATTACTAGTATTTATCTATATTTTAAGGCTTTAAACCCTTCCCACACTCTTGCAATGTTCTAAACTTAAACCTTCATAATTTTAACAGCATTTGTCTATGTAGCTACCAAATTTTACTCTTCAGCTCTGCAGAACAGCAGAAGCTCGGTTCAGTTTCTGCAGGCCTACCCTGCAGCAACGAAGCCCACAACGTTCTAAACTCTTAAACCTACGTCATTTTAACAACATATGTATTGCAAAATTTTACTCACCAGCTCAGCAGAAACAGCAGCTCGGTTCCAGTCCGGCAGACCTACCCTGCCAGTTCTGGTCCAGTTTGTCAACGGGCGTATAATGTGGCGTATGCGATACTCCTCTTGTTTTTCTGCCCATGGCTGTTGGTGTTTGTAATTTTTTTTGTAGTAGTGGTTGAAAAGACTCCCCAGCTTTTACCTTTGTGTTTTGTGATCAGAGTAAATGTGTGTTGCTTCACCTGCTTTGGCTCTTAACACACAGCTGACTGTTCACAACTACACTGAACACCACCTGAACGATTCATGCACTTTTTGTTTTTGGGTCAAAAAATAAAATGTCAAATGCTGCAGGAAAATAATCTCAGAAAAATACTTGTGGTTTTAGGACCTTTACATACTCCACGACTGGTGAAGAACTCACAAAGAGAATGATGAATCTAAACTAAACAAAGAGTTTTTATCTGGCGGGAACTTGCTGCACTCACAGACGTGTGTGTGTTTCTCTGATCGATCAGTACACACTTCCCTTTGTCTTGGTTTTATTTAGTTAAAGTAACTTTTAACTCTGACACAAGGAGAATATTCACTGTGGAATTTATCATTAGTCGAGAAAAATATCTAACATTATTTTATAGAAAGTTCTTACTAGTATTTGCTATCCTACATATAGGAAGTATGGCAATATACACAATGGTAAGATTAAATCAATAGGAAAAAAACTTGTTGCTCAGCCTGTTTCACTAGACCTGTCTACTTGGAGGCCATAATATTTCACAAGAATCTTCTATCTTGAAGCAAAATGTTAATCTTTGGTATTTAGTTAAAAAAGCAGTAAAAATATTCACGTTTAGTCTCTGAACAAGTTAGAACAAGGAGTGTGGAGGAGAATGGTTAATTGTCCTTTGTGACAAAGACCTATTGTCAGGATGAAAGTCTTTATCAGGTTCCTGAAGGTCAGGGGCAGCCTGAGCCTTTCAGTGAGGGTTTTGATCATTTAAAGGTACTTTCACATTAAATGGTTGAGACTTCTTGAGGGTTAGATGATCTATTTGTTCTACTGTGCTGCAGGACCAACATGTTTGCTGTTGTACCTCCAGGAGAACGCTGTGAATACAAAGTACACAACCGCATCTCTCATGGTAATAAAGGAGGGCTTCATTTTAGGCCTTTGTCTGGCGGTTTAGTTTAACTCTTACTGTGGAGCTTTATTCAGAAGGAAGAACTAGGGCTGAGCAATTAATTGCATTTTCAATAATTTTGCAATATTATAAAACGCGATTTTCTAATTGCAAAGGCTGCAATTTGACTGGTCACGTGATCTGGTTACGTGACTTGCGATTGAGCGGAGCAAAGCAGATCAGGGAGCGGGAGAAGTCAACACTGCGCTTTAACTGGTTGTGCAGTGGCATCAGGCTCAACAGAAGCTGACACATCTAAGTTTGGTACCAAAGAGGCTGCACGTCTGTTGTTTGGAATTATTTTGTCTCTAAAAAAGAAGACGCTGCACAACGACATGCATTGTGCAGAACCTGCCTTGCTGCTGCTGCTACCTCTCAAGGTAACACCACGAATCTTTATCAACACTTAAAAAACATCACAAAACCATTTACGATAGTTGCATGGCTAGAATGTCAATGACCAGTGCTTCAACTTAAATTCAGCAAAGTAGCGGCTGACAGGGATCACTGACCGAACTGTTCGAAGGTATTACTCCGTATGAACATAATTCAAAACTGCACGCAGAAATAACTCGAGCAATAACGGAGTTCATAGCAAAAGACATGATGCCCATTAATATAGTGATCAATCCTGAGTTTACAGCTTTGGTAAACACAATGGATGAGAGGCACAGAATGCCCTCGTGCACACATTTAGCCAAGTCTCTATCCTGGAGCTATACAAAAAAATTATAAACAGAGTTGCAGCAGAGCTGAAAACTGGATTTTTTTTACAACTGAAACAGATTTATTGCTTGTGTTCGTTGAAAAATACATGAGAAGAAGACATTGAAAATTTGTCGCATATTAAATCGCAATATTGAGGTAAAAAAATTGCAATTAGAATATTTTTCAAAATTGTTCAGCCCTAGGAGGAACCAGAACTCTTACTTTGTACTGCGAAGCACCGCAAACCAGACGGTGTGATCATAAGAAGTTTCTACTTCAGTGCTGGAGGAGCGTACATCTTGCTCAATCAATCATGGTACATTTCTGTAGGAAGCAAACCCTCCATGTCACTTCAGACGTCCTGTTGAGTTCACAAAAGGCTTCCTCTGAACCAGGAGCTGAACAAGACCTGATAAATTGAGTTTTATTAAATATGAACAGCCTCAGCACTGGCAGGGTGAAAACACACACAAACGAATCACAGGCCTTTTTCAAATGTTTATAAGGACTTTGAAGTGTTCCCTTGCGGTCTGAAAGCACCTGAAGTGTGACGTTCTCCCAGGCCTCCTTTGGTCCTTCAGTCAGGATGTGTTCAGAAGTTCTTCACTGATTCCAGCAGGTCTTTGATGTCGTTTGCTTTACTCATCACTGTGTTGTTGTTATTGTTGTTTTATTTCTGCAGCCTTTAGTCTCCGGTTGATGATAACAAAGGCAGGTAGATGAAATCCCTGCTCTCTGTTTATCCTCGGGCTGTGTCGTCTTGATTGAGAGGGAGGTTAGAAAATTGACTTGATATCCTCTGTGACCTCTTGTAAACTGATAAGCTTCTGTGGACTTACTTTGTGTGCCTTACAGTTAAATACTGAAGTGCGTAGTTGAGCTGCAGTCTGTGTGTTCTCAGCATCCAGTCCTGCTTCTTCGGTGTACTGATGACTTTAGTTTTGTTTTTCTTCTTTTTGTTTGTTTGGCAAATTAACTGATGAACCACCGGATGAAATTTAATGAAACGTTCAGAAAGTACTTATTAAATGTACTTCTCTAATGGATTTACTTCTTATCATCATGCGCCAGTCAAAAGATGGACACATCAAGGTCTCTGTCCGCATGTCCATAAACTTTCTCTTGTCCTGCCCATAACTTCTGATCTGCTCAATAAGTTTGAACAAAACCTCATATGAATTTGTACCACCACCAAATAGCATGTTTGCAAAATCAATCAATCATCCCAGCTTTAAGATCAAGGTCACAAATCAAGGTCAAAGTTTATACAAGGTCTTTGCTTGTCTGTGCCATTGGTTGCTGTATTACTGTATGAGTTTGTCACCAGGACTTTAATGTGCTGTATGTGGTTCTCTTGTTTACTTTAAAATGACCACGGCTAGTCATCATTAGCAAAAATAAAATATGTTTATAATTCAGGTGCTTTTACAAATATTGAGCTAAAATTTGGTGTGGTAGTAGCTGAGTCGTCCTCGTGCATACTGTCCTTCACAAGGTTTGACCAGACTGTCCCGTTAACAATCCCTTTCTCATCATCAGATGATTTTAGTTTAAAGGCAGCAGGGGGATTTACATTCCCTTAAGAAATGCTGGGCCTTTCATTAAATGTGCTTTCCCGTTTAGTTGTTTCATGGTATTTATATTTGCAAATGTGATCTTTCATTTTTTTCTGTCACTAATATAAAATTATAGGTGACAGAAAAAGGCTTATATACATTATCTTTAGGCTTGATGTATGCAGTCAGGTTAGAGATGCTTTTAGCCCCAGAATGATCTTTTTATGACTTCCCTTACTTCATATTAATTTAAACACCTTAAATGAAGCTGAATGAAACCGGCAGACGCGGCAGAAGATGGAGGGATTTTCCTCTTGCAGCTGTCTTCAGTAATCACATCCATGCTTTGAACTTAAAGTAGTCACACTGCGTGCCTAAATCATATATACCTGCGATTTATAGGATCGTTTATTTGTATATGGCGGTGTCTTGTCCTTATTACATTTAAATAATCACAGACACTTAGGTTAGAATAGCATACCATTAAGTTTTGAAACTCTACTTCCCTCAAATAAAGAACATTTTAATTTTAGTATAATTTCTATTTTGAGCTGTGGTTTCTAACAACGCTGACAACTCATGATGGTCCAAAGATCACCATCTTGTTTAACCCACTCAAACAAACCAGATGCTTCCCCTGTGCACTCTTTCTGCAATGATTGAAAGTGGAGCACCCACCTCGCGTGTCACTCTGGATCACTGCACATTAATAACAGGTATTTGTAGTTAACATTTAAAGGCATAAAGCTGTCAAACAACTACTGATTTGGTCACCAGCCTGGATCTTTTATCTCTACCGCTTTATATATGCACTCAGTAATGATGCTCAGATCAATACATTTCAGATTTTACCCCAGGTGTTCATAGGTTGTGTATATTTTAGAATGTGGAGGTTCTTAAACATGCAGACAGATTTACATGGCCTAACAGCTCCATCACAGTCAATGCTTCGTGTTGGTTGTAGCTGCCGCATTGAAAGCATGAAATGAATATTCAGATCTCACACCGAGCCTCTCTGGTTGCTGTGTGCACATTTTTCCAGTATAAAGATGGCCTTTCCTGTGGAGCTTTTTCATACCAGACATTTTGACTTGAGGGAAATCACAGGTTGAAATAACGATGGCTCACTTCCATTTAGTGTCCCAGAAAACAGTTTCAGTGGAGCGGCATACACGGCAGCAGGGTCTTCTCAATGTGAAAAGCATCCATCACTAACAGCTCGGCGCCGCGCCTTCCCTCGAGTACTGTAAGTCAAAAACGTCAGCGCAAAAAGGTCAGTTGACAGAAAAATAAATGTCAAGAATTCGTCCCAGGTGTTGGTTTAAATCCGAAACAGCTTTTTCCTCTGCTTGCCCCACAGCGTCCACCAAACAGCCACAGTTGTCCAAAGATTCTGAAAACCAGTGATAATTCTTCTCTTTTAATGATTTATGTCCAAACTTAAAAATAACCAGCCGTTATACCTTGTCTAACTGTTATCTTGCCAATTACCAAAGGAGCCATTATGTTGTGTGAATTTATCTGTAAATCAAAGAGTGTGAAGAGGGGGTGGGTGCTAACAACCTGTTAAACAGACAAGTTAAAAAGTTACTGCTGCATAAACATCATCTGCAGGTTTTATTTTAGACTAATTATAATAGAAAAGACTTCAATAAAGCACATGAAAGTATAAAAGGCACCATAAAAATATTAGTCTCAGCACACGCCACATATAAGAGACCCATCTTCAAAAGATCTAGTATAAATCTAGATTAGCTTGTCATCTTACCTCCACATTATTTTAGGCTCGTTTCTTAAACCGCACCATATATTCTCACCAGATGTTTTTAAACAAATGTCCCCTTATGAAGAGCCAGTGTATCTCAGCTGCAGGAGTTAATTAGAGCACCACAGCGCTAATCAAAGCTCGATGACGCTGCCTCACAGGCACAGCTACAGACGACCGGCTCCGTGCTCCTTACAATGCCTACAGATCACTTCATGGTGGACTATTTTTGGTGTGGTGGGAACAGAAAAGACTGAACTTTTTGATTAGACATGAATGTGACTCAGTGACTTTTGCTAATGAATGAGAGGATGACTGAAGAACACATGAATGGACTGGGGTGATGACAGAAATGATTTTTTTATTCTTGAGCACAAACCATCTCGGTAATACCCTCTTCAGATGTTTTGTACCCCGTCGCAAAGAGCGGACTTGGAAATACCTTTTCGTCTGTCTTGTGAGCATGATGAGTTGAAAAATAAGAGAGGCACTGACTTGCATTTTGGTGTGTGGCTGCATCTAGGCGTAAGAAAGATCACTACCAGAAATTGTGTTGCCATGTCGTAATCCAAGATGGCCACCACCATATATATATATATATATATACGGTATATAAACCAGCCACCTCTATTATTTTAGGAAACTATGCTTTATACCAAGCATGTACAGCATTATATTGCCTAAAAATATAGTTACTTCAAATGGATGGATTAGTTCGCCCGTTGTGTGGGCGAGTAATCTATAGGGGCCATGGCCTCCGTTGGCCACCCCCTGGCTCCTCCGTTGTACCTGGTGGTGATAAAATGTCTCCCTCCACTCACCAGAATCCATCACCCTGCGCCGCCTCGGACAAGAAAAACAAACTCTTCCCTCCGTTCTTCTCCACAGTGTGACTCCTTCCCACGTGAATATCTTGCACCAAAAACATTTAGGTTTACTTGTGTCAAAGTAAGGAACAGTGGGACAAGGCCCTAATCAGAACAATCAAACTGAAATGACAGCTTTAATTTAATAAAATAACAAATCTACCTTTTTTCACTGAAGCACTTTAATGATTCAAAACAAATTGTTTAACACATCGTTGGTCATTTTCGTGTTCTTATTAACACTTTATATCCTTTGACGTTTACGTATGGAGTTTATGGGTTTAATTTTTTCTGACCCATAACATTTTTACCCCCATGATACCACTCAGATTTTTTCTGTCTTTCTATTTGTCCTTTTCAGTCAATATCACTGCGTAAATAAATGCTTTCTCACTGATTTAATAAACTAGAAAGCTGAAGATGTAACGAGGCTAAATCTGGAATAATTGGTGTAATTCAATAGAAGTGGTCATAATATATTAGATCGTTGATGTTCCTGTGCCTAAATGAGGTTTCTACATTTTGTAAAACTCTTTTCTCACTTAATTAAATTTTAGTACATCATTAGTCGTGTTATGCTGCATATCACAGGATCCCCATTATTTCATCTTCGTCTCCTCGTGTATAAGTTATTTTTATTGTTGTTAAACGAATATCATCCCTTGCAGAAATACCCAAATGTTCACGCATCTTTAATAGACTCTGCAAACATTTATATTTTAGAGTGGCACTCCTCCATTAGCATCCCATTACAAAGAATTTTTCTTCATAATAACGATGCACTAACAGTCTCACGTTATAATATACAGAACATTTTGTATTAAAGTATATTAAGCACATTACTTCTCACCCATTATAGCAGATTCTGAACCAATGTGGCTCAAACAGAACGGAGGTATGATTCAAACCCCAAGTACTTCTCGTGTGGAAAAACAATGAACCCCTCCAGGCTGTTCCTAAAGGCATTTTAAACACCTTTCATGGTAGCGTTGCCTTTTATTTGTTTGTGGGTAAAGGAGAATGCCTAGAAGTGCTTGTAGAACCTAACTGAGAATAAAATGATGCCATATAAATGCACCATTTACCGCCTGCATTTATTCATTGGGAGACGTGTTGCACCAGTAAGAAGGAAACACATTTTCTTTACATTTGCATCACTCAAGGTTTCAACAAGATTTTTCCCTAACTTTTAAGATTACTTGAGTATACAAGTGACATTTCCCAAATTTCTTGTAGAAAAACTGGTTCATCTTTGGAGAAAATCTTTCCTAAAACACAACACGGATCTCTCGTGTGCTGAAATGCTTCTTCACATGAATAACAGCTGCCTGCTGTGTTAATGAACAGTTAATTGGTGTTCCCTGCTTGTGTTTGTAGGAGTATGCAGAGTTCCAGTACAGACGGAGACATCGGCAGCGCAGACGAGGGGACATGTCCAGTGTCCGGAGCAACACACCCGACCTCGATGACCTCAGCGACGCTGCTTTAGGTACTGCGGGGGTTTAACTTGGACGTACACGAACTTTAGAAAACATCTTTGGGGACTTGGTGGATTTTAGTTTTCTGTGTTGCAGCTGTAGTTCCTTATTGTGTTACAGAAATAATTTAGGACTAATCACATCTCCTTTGATGGCATTAATGTAAAGAAAAGACTTAAATCTGTAAGCTACATTCATTTAGATAATTTATATTTAGTAAAATAAAATGTATGGAATGAAAATGAAAGCTCAGCCACAGAAAAATGACAACAGCTTTGTTTGGTAAGGCCAAACTTTTAATCAGTCGGAGGCCGTTTCATTTGCTTCGGCTGCGTGTAGAGTTGAGTTTGGAAGCCAGTAAAGGGGCTCTGCTTTGCCAAGAATCATTTATTCATTTTGGTTAAATACACTAAATGAGTACATTTCCTGGGTTTATTCTGAAGGTCCTGTCTGCCAGGTGCTTGTGGCAGACTAAGAATAATTTTACCACAGGTGGTAATTAGCAGGAGATTAATTTGCTGTTGGACTGTGAATGTAGAGTCAGTTTAATGATGGTAATTTTGACTCTGGTATATTTATTTTTGTTCTTTTTGTCAATTTTTTCCACAAAAGACACACACGATTCTGGAGGTGGACGCAGACAAGGCCCCTTGATGGTGAGTTCTCAGTTATAAGGCTTTTATTGTTTATTGCCTTTGAGTCTTATTAACTCAGTTTTACACCGTTTGTCAGCTTTCTTTATTACAGTCATGTTGGGTACTTCATATGACTGTGACACGTCTACAAAAACTAGATTCAACTTATTTAAAACAGTCAAAACATGCAGTTTTTCAATGTTTTGATTCAACATTTTTATGCTTTTATTACAAATCTTCATCATTTAATGATTGTTTGGGGGTTAATGTAACTTAAACTCTTCATCTCATTTATGTTAATGTAATTCAGTGATCAGTAGTTTGTAAATATCTTAGCACAGATAATTTCATAAAATTTCAGCCCCTACTTTTCCTATAAACCTCTCCACCGCTCTATTCCCCATTTACAAAAATTACACCACTGTCGACTCTTGTCCTCACAGCTTTTAGTTGTCGTATTTGTCCCCCATTACGGAGCAAAGGGGGGATATTGGAAATACGTCCTTATTGTGAACTGGATAACTT